ATTTTTCTTCTGGGTATCTTATTGCCCACTTTGGGAAGGCCTGGTTTAGATAGGTAATATTGTTTATTTTTGACATCATTATGACGATAACTTGATATTATAAAACATATCTGGAAAATGCTTATGGATAAAGATGATTTATGGTAGACGGTAATACAATGTAGCATATCGTTGTTGCTGTACTGTAGTATATCGTTGTTACTGTACTGTAACACAATTTATTGATGTGTGATGTGTTTATTATGATGAATCGGGTTTATCCATGGAGATTTTCTTGATATTTATGAATATCGCAGAGAGGCTTCAGGTAAAAAGCCAAATATCTGCAATCAAATAGGATCTGAATAATGCACGCATGAAGTCTTAAAATCAAATGAAGAAATTGACTTCTATAATAAATTGACGCGTTGTTCACTGTAAGTACAACAAGTTGAGAAGGATAATAATGACGATCGTTTTAAGTGGACGGATCATATTGATCTGGTGTGTGATAACTAAAGAGCAACATTAGCAAAATATTGCATAATTAAAGATAAGGTTCTATATAAAATATTACTAGCCCTGTATTATTCTTTGGCGGAGTCTGTTGTATGTAAGGTCTTAGCAGTTATGGTCGTACGTGTAAAAGCCATCTTCATAAAAATTTAAAGGTTGCAACTACGCTTTATTAAAATATAGTACCAATTCATTACTAAGTAAATAATACAGTATTATTTGAAAATTAATAATAATATAAAAAATCATTTTATACTAATGTAAAAATACTAGACGATCTCAATCAAAGAAGCTTGTGATTCCATGGTATAATAATCTATTTGGGGTAAAACAATTTTCATGAACTGCATGATCAAGTAAAAAGTGCAATTAATCCCAAAAATATTTAAAAAAGGAAATTGAAGAGGAAATTTTTATTCATATACTAATGCATGTACTATTAATTTATATTATATCCAAATAGAATTTTTCAACTAATTGTTAATATAACACTGATGTTAACTCCCATTTGCATCAAATGCACGCTGTATATACTCGGAAAATTCTTAACTCTTAATTTCTAATAAATCAACACAGCGGTGTGTATTTTTCATGTACCCAATATTACATTTATTTTTATTAATAGTAGATGAAACAAATGAAAGTGTAGCGATAATGAATGAACAACGCTATACGGTCACACTTGTATTAGTTTTTGTATACTAATCAGTTACTGTAAAAAATTTAAATAAATATATAATAATAAATTAATTAATTAAATTATAGTTGTATAACGTCGAGTAGGCCGAATAAGTTAGATAACAATAGTAATCAAATTTATAAAGCTGTCTATAGCAAACGTAGTTAAAATTTGAAAAAAAACTTCATTTTTAGGTGTTTCTATTCTTATGGATATGTCAGTCATATCAAACGATAGATACATATGTGATAATCGCAGATGATGGTAGAATAACAAGCCTTTCGACTAAGCTTAACATAAATGAGGTACTTATAAAGTGATTATATTTTTTTACTATGAAGAACTTTTAATTAAATAAATAATCAGTAAAATGATTATCACGGGATTACTAACCTATAACTTGTTTTTGTTGGTTATCCCGCTATAAATTATCATTCTAATGTAAATGACTATGAAACCTTAACACGACAAATTCATCTTTATGATATGAATTCTAGTTTTTTTCCAATATTTCTGGTTGTATAACCTCATTTGTTCTGGATTGCGACCGTCTAACTCTAGCCATAGGATACCTCTAGCCATAGGAGTCCACTTTCTGCAAAGTCAGGGAAATAAAAAAACTGGTCAAGAATAGTCGTTGAAAGTCAGGTAAAAATGTAAGGTTAACCGTGAAAAGATATAAGATCTTTGAAATTTTTTTATTATTGCAATGAATTAAAATTTCGCAAATTAATCACATGTTTGTTTTATGCGTTGGTATTCCACTTTATATTCAATTCAAACTATTTTTAAGACCTCCTTTTTTTAATTCGAAGTCTTATCTAATATTATGCCAATTTCACTAAGCCTTGTGAACTTAACATTTCTTTTCAACGGAATGTCAAGGCTTACGACTACTTAAAATTTTCTTCAACTTCGTTTCCTAACTTTAAACCTCTTCGACGTGGAATTTCATGTCCGTCACGTCCGTTAAATACATGTATATTGTAATATTAAGCTGACCAATGACTGCACAAATCCAAAACCCCGAAAACTTCACCTCTAGCTTCAGGGCCGCTTCAAAGCCCTTTAGAAAGTTTAGATGTGGCCGTTAAAACAGCTTAGTGGAGGACACTGTCCGTACGGTCGGGTCTAACTATTATATGAGTTTAACATGACTCTTAAACGACTAAAAACAATAAGGCGGCGTGTGATGACGAAATTACTGCAGAATTTCTGCTAAAGAACAGTAAACCAATACTTAAAAAGACTATCTAATTGTATTTTCCTCGAGGGCAGTACGCCGAAAGCATCAAGTGGGAGTGTAGTTGTTCTATTTTTCAAAAACGATGATAAGCCATTCTTCAAGAACAAGAACTTAAGTTGTCTTCAAGAGTCGATTTCCAATCTCCTGAGCAAGTGAGTTTCCTAAGAGGTTATGCATTGCATTGTATTCGTAAGCTGCGGCAAGTTATACAGAAGACTAAAGTGAATAATTTGCCACTTTGCTTGGCGTATGTGAACTACAAGAAAGTCAGTTGAAAGTTGGCCAGGTGGACTACATGTATATCGAGGTGCTAAAGTGTCAGTACAAGAATGCCACTATGTCGGTTCGAATCCAAAACCTGGACTCAAATCCCTTCCAATTACAGTGAAGCCTGAGGCAAGATGTTATCTCTCCGAAGCTATTTACCGCTGCTTTGGAGAATATTTGCAAGCTTCTTTATTGGAAAGGATTCGGCATCAACATTAATGGCGAGTATCTTACACACCTTTGCTTTGCTAATGATGTAGTTCTAATAGCTAAGACCTTGGAGGACCTGAATGCCATGTTTGGGGATCTAAGTAGTGCATCCTAAAGAGTGGATCTTAAGATAAACATGGGTAAGACGAAAATCATGTCGAATGTCCGTGTTTTACCCACTCCATTTAAATTTGAAGTTGTCGATTATTATATATACTTCATTTCCTAGCGTAATAAAAGGACATCGAATCCAGCTCGGGTGTGTCAATATTCTTCGGCAGCTTAAAGTAATAGAAAGAAGCTCGGTGCAAAATCCTCCCGATTTTGTCTGTGACACCTTTTATTTATATGAGTACAGGTTTTCGCTCGACTGTGGTAGACTTGACTCGTTTGCGACTAAGGCGTGTTACTTTTAATTTGTTATCCCGAACTACTTGCTTGACATGCTATAAATCAGTTGTCAGGTGTTGATCGTCACAGATACATATTGTAGTCGGAGTAGTTATTTCTAAAAAATGTTATACTGGAACCAGTATCTAAAAGACCAACAATATATTTTTTTATTCACAGTAACAGAAATAAATGGACGCGAAAAGTAATCATTTTTATTTTCTTATTTCGGACTGATTATTTTATTTACTTTACGCTTATCACGAACTGGAGATCATTTTTTTTTATAAATCTAAACCATTCGTTTCAATCAAATCTTCGGCCTTCGAATCTTCGGCCAGAAAACCGTTTTTTGGTTTGACAATATTATTATGATTTGGACGTTCCGAAATACGAACAAATGGTTAACCATACTTAAAACAAATTATTTTTTGAGGTTGTTCATAATTTCTTAGGTTGTGTGTGTTACTACGACACCTAAGACAACAAATTTCTCTGTAGAAGTCGCAGACACAACAACCTTGTTAGGGTCATGATTTTTTTCAAAATTTTAAGATTGTCAACTGTTGAAATGGGCGTGGGGAACGTCCGAGAAGTTACGAAAAGCTCTTCACCTCAGAGTCTCGAGAAAAAGTCTTCAATCAGTGTATACTGTCAGGATGTCTTACGCGAGCGAAACTTTTTCGTTCACTGTGGGTCTCATAAGCTTAGTGTTTCTCTACCATCGTTACTAATATTGTACTAAAAATTGCTCATCTTTAGTGGCAGTAAGCGGGCAAAATTTTCAGAAAATTTCTTGTCTTCTGAAAATGTGCAAATTGGTTTTCAAGCGAAATTCCTATTAAAAGAAGCAGAAGCTATTAAAAAAAGTTTACTGAAAAAGAAAACCTGATTTGATGTCCAAAACCTGATTTGTGTGAGTGCGTGTGTGCGTGTGCGTGCGCGAGCGCGTGGGCGTGTGTTTGTGATATGTCTTTTGGTGAATAAATTTGGGATAAATGACTAAGTTAAAATCACTTCTGTCAAACCCAAATTATCTATCATTCCTTCTTCGTTTTTAAAGTACATGTCAAAATAGTAAAATGAAACGAAATGGCGCTAAAATGTCTTATATTACGGCTAGAGTTAAAGCTAAAGGAGTGAAGTGATTCCTCAGCTGGTCCAATTACATTATATAAACGTTGCCAAGGGTTGAAAGCAGGCTTCATCGTATAATGTGTTTGTTTATAAATTTATGCAAAGGTATTTAAGTTTTTAAAAACTACAGTTAAATGATAGGGAAATGTGAAAGTGGTAAAGTAGTAGGAAACGATTGTATGTTAACCATGTAATATATTATGCGCAGAAAAACAAACTAACACCTTAATCTTAACAACTAGTGTGATTGTAAAATACCTTATTTAAATATTACATAGTGCTTTATTTTTATACCGTTTTTTCAACCACGTAGTTCGGTGGTGGTACCTATAGCTTACGGTTAAAAATAACCTTTAGTTTATAATTCCATCAGGTAAGTTGATGACTTGCCTAAATAATTATTTAGAAAAACACTTCTATGTCATTTTGTACTTAATATTGTTACTGTAAGTAATTTATAAGAATTCACTTTGTAATTCCCATTTGTAAGTACAGTTCGCTTAGAAAAAACTGTTATAAATTTTATTGGACTATTAAAGTGTTTGTTCAATAGTTTATTTAATTGAAAAATTGCAGCCTACCACCATAGCATCGAATTCTATAATACCAGAAGACATAGCAAAAGAGATGAAAACTGAAGATCAGATTTTAGCGCAGCTTAGAGCATCGCAGAACATTAGCACACCTCAGGGCGTATCGTTTATGAATGAGCAGCCAGCAGCGATGCAGCCTTCCGGTAAATCAGAAGAAACATTCACACCTGCGGCAACGCTTGGTGTCACTCCTAATCTGGAGGAATTGCAAAAACTAATACAGAAAGATACTTTAGCTGCTAAACCCTCTGATGAAACTAGCGATGAAAATGTCGAAGTTCAGGTAATTAACAGAAATTTTATTTGACGCTAGAGTTACGTCCGCCTTGCGCGTCGTAGTGGATTTCGGAATTGTTATCAATTAATGATATGAAAAATGAGATGAAAAGCATTATATTACTCGAATTTATGAAAATTCCGTGCGCTCAAAGGTTTTAATTTGGGCTATGTTGTGTACGCGATGGCGAAAAATAATTGAAAATTATCTACATAAAAATCAATGAAAATTATTTTCTTTATAAGTTCTATATAAAAAAAAACTCTTTGTAATTGTATACTACCAGAGAAGGAAAAAAACACGATACAGTGCGAGGACTTGTCGGCGTAAGTATGGAGAGCAGGTGTGATAGTGATGAGATTAAGTTTTACGTAAACGCGTTCATATTAATGAATGAGTGCCTTAGAATTTGAATTGATATTTAGTTCTTGATAGTTACTGTTAGGATGGATTCGATTTTCATGTTAAAATCTTATCGGGCTCCCTGTAGTTTTCGCTTTAACATAATTCTAATAAAGACAATAATAATATTACTAATACAATACTATACAAATTAAACGGCCACTATATGCTGGTTGTGTAACATGCTCTTAGATTTTTTTGTCAGAAAGATAAAGTTATAGAAATCATATGAACAAAACGGGACAGTTCGAGGTGGGGGCGAGGGAAATGGCGTTTCTTTATTACGATATATTATTGATCATTTATAGCGGATCTAGAATCAGCCACAATAATAGAATAAATAAATAAATTTTACATGAAATAACATTTTAACGTAAAAATATTGCAAGTGTTTATGTTGCAAAATATTTGTGTGCAAAATGCTGCAATATGTATATTTATATGCCGCACCGGTGTTCACTTCATAGCCCATAAAAGAATGAAAGACTCAACAAAATCCGTCTAGTTATTTTCGTGTGAAGAAGTAACATTATAGCTATTAATTTATTATGCTATAACTATTGTTACTCTACATCTAGAAATAATAAACATGCGGAATATTAAATAACTAACAACAAAAAAAATTGTGCATGTATTTACAATTAATAATATATATCCTATTTATTTTATCTAATTTTCGTTACTTACTTTATTAGCGATTCTTATATTTCTTTTTGCAAATAGTTAAAAACGGTAATTTTGTTCCTGCAGCAGTCATCTGAAAAAACGTCAAAAAGTGAACGAACAGTGGAAAATAAATCATCACAAATGAAATCATCAGCTGACGCTAAACAGACGAAGCAAACGAAAGGTGATAATGAAAAGACAGCTAAAAATAAGGAGAACAGTACAAAAAGTAAAAGCAAGAAAAAAGAAGAAAAGAAAGAAGAATTAGAAAGTAAGACTAAAGAAGATAATGTCAAAACGGAGGTAAGATGATTAAAAGTTACCCTACTTTAAATTCAAACAAGCTAATTGTTTCATGTCTACCCTTAGGGCTTCATGTTTTCTTGTTTGAAGCTTTTGATGTTTAAAAATTTAATGGAATTGCTTGTTTACTATTACTTATGAAAATCCTTTTTGCTGCCTACGTACGATTGGCAATAGGCATGGAGAATGTATGTGTCTCCCGCATGTCACTTGTCTTTGAGTTCTTCCAGTTAGGGTGTTGCACACCGGGAGCTAAACATCATGTGAAGAGCAAATATTGTAAAAGAATTTTATTATTGAATAAATATAACTTTTCATTAACAATGTCTTATCGATTGTTATGTTTGCATTTTATTAACGAAGAGGAAATTACCATATTAGGTGAAGGTATAGGACTTTTTATTCTTTTTTGATGGTTTATCTTGATTTTTCTTTTAACAGAAGAGGTCGGAGGAAACTTCGCCAGCTAAGAGTAAAAAGGAAGACAAGCTTAACAAAAAAGACTTGGAAAAAGAAAAGAAGGTTAGTCAAATAAATATTATAGTAACTGAATTTTGTGTGCATTTACAACAGGTTAGCTGTAAAGGGAATGGATAAATAAAATACGAGATCCAGCATATTTTTTTTCTATTCATATTGTAAAATTTAATTTAGTAATAAAAGTATTTTGACGCAGGAGTGGCTTAAGGAAGGCTTCACGATTGTGAAAGGGTCAGAAAAAAGTGTTAGTAAAGATAACAAGAAGAAAGTGGAGGAAAATAAAATTGCAGAAGAAACTGAACGCAGAAGGTTAGAAACATTTTTTAAATACTTTTTGTATGCAATATCACGGTTGATTATTTGTATTGCAATAGTTTGCGTAATTGTAATGTATAAAATAAAATAATTTTCGTTGTTCACATTAAAAATGACATTTAAAATTGTTACTAAAAGTAAAAAAAATACAGTTCTAGGGAGGCAGGGGGCTAGGTGTAACAATTTGTGGTCTCTTGCGCTATAAAAGCTTACTTGTTTGGTATTTAGTAAGTCTATCATTACTATTCCAATAAACAACTACTCAATATCGATTAAAAAAATAAAGCTGTGAGGACTTTTTGTAAAAAGAGACTTGAAAAAAACTGACGAGTGTTACAACTTACTCCATGATTGGGGCTAGTCGTAACGGGCTAGAGGCAAATTGTAACATTAGGTATTAAAGTTTTATATTTTATAATGATTTATTTGGCATGAAAATCTTAGGTATACATTTATTTAAGAGTGGTGGCAAATCAGGACTGACTTAGCGTAAGTCATACCAGTCAAGATTACCCCGATACGGCGGTGCTTATTCGTTCAGAGCCTATTTTACTACTTACTTCTTTCTTTTTAAAACTATTTAAATAAGTGCTGGCAATAGATTCCATGCAGACCTATGAGTTCTGTAGATACTGGTGGGAATTATGTAGTATGTAATATTTATTATATTATACTTTTCTTAAATTATTAGGTAATTTAGTTTTCAAGTTTTGAAATGCAATATGGAACTACTGTCGTGAGTCTCACTCACTACTCTACGTCACATAGACGTAAGTTTGCCATGACATGGGCGGTGTATATATTGATTATTTTTGAATGCAATATTGGAATTGATGGAAAGATGATATTTGTTTGTACAGGAAAGAGGAAGAAAAATTGGCTCTCGAAGAAGAAAAGAAGAGAAAGCAAGCCGAAACTATTAAAAATAAGGTAAAAAAAGAGTTTTGGTATGTTAATTTACCATTTAGAGTTACCATGTAAAATTAATGCGGCTATTATTACGTTTAACATATATTAATATCCTCATCTATTTCAACTCTGTTTCAAACAGTGTGAACTGGTTGATAATGTCACAAATGCACCCATAGCAACCTTTGAGCAAAAATAGATGACAATGCCGCGTTATTCTTTTTCGTTGTCGTTTTTCTCACATAAATAATACACTACAACTTTTCTAAATTTTCACACTCACATCATTAGCCATGTCTGTACTTCTCAGCGATCAGCAAGACACTGAAACTAATATCCGCTGATACCAACGCGTGTAGTCAGCGCGAACGGTCCGCGTTACACTAAAACCAGCCTTAAGTAAAAATCAATAGTTCTTAGAAAAATGTTTGTTTACATAGGAAATACAACAGCAACAGCAGCAACAACGGCAGGCTATGGAATCTGTTGCGAAGAAGGCTCCGTGGTCGGCGCTAGCGAACCAAACGATGCTTGCTACCAACAAAGATGGACTCACTCTAGCTGAGATACAGCGGCTCGAGCGCGAGAAGAAACTGGAGCAGATGAAGGAGCAGCAGCAGATGATGCAGATCATCGCGCAACAACAAGCCGCTGCCCTTGCTAGGGAACAGGTATATTGTTACTACTACCGGTGATGTTAGTGCAAAGATTATTGCGTGCGAATCGAGATTTTTTTATTTGCAATACAAGTCACTTATTTGTAAAAAATATTCTCTTTTCAAACAGAACAAAAATTTTATATTTGAACGATATAAATGATATGTACTCGATATTAGTATTTCATCATGTAATTTTCAATTATTATTATCGTTAGTTACATTCTGATTCACACAAACTGACGGTTTCACAGGAAATGCAAGCTGGATTGGGATGGGCAAAAAAGAAGGGGACCAATTTTAACGTTCCAGGGCAAAGTTTAGCAGAAATTCAGGTAAATAGAACATATTTGCATCGTATATTAGACGCCGTTTTCAGAAAGGATACATCTTTTTTTGTTTTAGACAAATTTTGCTTGAGTTATTCAGTGACGTCTTCGGTTGTCACATAGAATTCTGGTCTGAAATTGAAATCAGAATTTTAACGTATGCAATGATATTAAAAATATAATTGTAAATATTTTGGCTATATTACATATTATGCGTGGCTTTAAAAAAAAACCCATAAATAATCAACATTCTTATTGGAAATCCATATTAGAGAAAGATTTTGGATTTTTTAAGATTAGTATTGCCAGATCTTAGAAAATACCGGCGGAAAGTTTAGTATATATATAGATCGTACGCAGATGTATCGCTGAGTGTAGTTTTGTTGATAGGCGGAGGCTCGCAAGCAGGCGGCAGCGACGGCTGCAGCAGTGGCGGCAGCGGCGGCGACGCAAGCGTTAGAAGAAGCGGCAGCACAACCCCAACCCAACCACGTGCCCTGGGGTAGTGCGCCCAACGGCGGTCCAGCTAACAAAGGCAACTAATATAATTTTTAATGCATTTGAAATGCAACCTTAGCCTTAGTCTTAAACCAGGGCTCTCCGACTCCGCACCCGTCCTGAAAAGGACAGGCTTAGCGTGGCCGGCCTACCTGGTCAAAAGAATTTACGAGTAGCCTCTGGGGGAGAAGGACCCGGAATCCGGCAATGGAGTCAGCTGGTCCAGCCCAGCAAATGCATCTAATCTGAAAAGTTACAAGTAGATGCCGCTAGTTATTTGTATAATATGTCAACTGTTTATAGTTTGGTATGTGAAAGTAAATTTGATTATTCAATTTTGACGCATAGATTGAAAAATGAAATAATGTCAAATATTTCAGTACGTAAAGAGTAAAACGGGAACCCGAAACTTCGCTGTCTGTCAGTCAGCAGGCTGTATCTCATGAATTGTGAAAGTTAGACAGTTGAAGTTTTCTATTGCCGCTTCAACAACAAATATGTACTAAAACCGGAATAAAATAAATATTTAAGGGGGCCAGTTTTTTTCTTCTATATAAATGATAATACTGACACTGACTTACTTCTAACACTGAGAACTATCGTTTAGGATTTATTGCGGTGGGTATAAAAGAGACTAGTTTTCTTATAGTAAAATGGTAATGTAAACTTGATTGTGAATCACCCAGGTGGTTTTTGGGATACTCAACCGAATCCTCCGAATAAGGCGGAGAAGTCGCAGGAGTCGCCTAAAACATCAGCTTCAGATCAGAAGGCTAAGAAAAAGGCGATAGTGAACTTGCCCGCCAAGAAGGAAACCTCGCCTGCAGCCGAGTTTGAGACTTGGTGTACCACTGTGTTGACTTCTTGGAGCTCTAAAATTGATGGTACGCTATTAGATAGGGATTTCAGATAAGATTTTTCTTTAACTATCTTTTCTAACTAAAGAGTCCTTTAAACATATAATGTTGCTTAAATGTGCACTATTAATATTTGTGTTTGTTGCCGTAAATTATAACTTAGACAATATCGGTAAGGAAAACGAAAAAGATACTACAAACATGTTACTACTTATGATATTCCTACTGATAATCAATTTTCATCAATATACATATAATTTCCTAGTATTATAAAAAATATGGAAATATTAAGAAATATTAAATGAATATTATAAGAATACATATAATTTCCTAGTATTATAAAAAATATGGAAATATTAAGAAATATTAAATGAATATTATAAGAATTGATTTGTAATAAAAAAAAAACATAGAAGTAATGATATTTTAATGTATATTTCAACTTTGTTTCTTGTGAGTAATGTCATTGTTTTTGTTACAGTACCAACTTTCGTCGGATTTTTGAAGGACATTGAGTCGCCTTATGAAGTTAAAGACTATGTCAAATGTTATTTAGGAGAGTCAAAAGATTCAAACGATTTTGCTCGTAATTTCCTCGAGAGAAGGCAAGAAACATTTCATTGATATTCTTAGCATATACTATAATGTAGTGAAATCAAGCTTCTAACATGATTATATTTTTAATATTTTGCTATCAAGTTACAGTGTTACACTTTATTAAATTATAAATGACTCAAAATTTTACATATAGGAAAAATTTATAAACAGTGCATAAATTTTAGTATAATATTCATTACTGTGTATTGTAGATAATGTTGTATCTCTTAACATTAAACGTCGAATTATATTTAGAAGGGCCGTAAAGCAAAAGTTGGTACAGCTGCATTTGTGGTCGTTACATTCCAGTCCTCACTAGACCAGTTTTACTACAATATAACCTTTTTTTATTTTATAGTTATGGCTTGTTTTTCCTGGCTATTATCCACAGATAAGGGATAGTAAGATATGGATAGCCCTAGTATTGGGCATGTTAAATAATAATTGTGAAGTATTCTTACGCGTTTTTCTAGATCGAAACTACTTCGCGTGGGCATGGTGACGCCGTCAGACGATCTATGTTCGCCAGCAATGGCGGTCAATCCGCGTACACAATCCGGCTCCGACTACCAAGAGGTCAAGGTATCTGCAGTTCACTGCTGCCATGTTTCTATTTATTTTACTATTAAAAACCAATATTGGGTTGATAGATTAATACCACCTGAAGAAGGCGAATGAAAATATGGTTCTTTGCACCATGCAGATTCAAATTTTTACTAGTATTGATCCACGGCGATACGTATTTTTTTCATAAAAACAATTATAAGATTAATTACTTCTCCGTCTTTCAGACCGGTTGATAAGGATTGAGGCAACTTGACCGTTTTGCGGGTAGTATTTTGTAATTTTATTATGATCATATTAAACCACTCAGATTTGTTTTTCTCCAGAGTTACAAACAGGAGTACGGTCTGCATTCGCAACATAGATGAGGTTTAGTTTATTGAATTGAGATGTCACACTATGCTTCATCATGGCCATCCGCGTTTTTTTTTTTCTTGTAATCCATATATTTATAAATCGCAAGTCAATTTGCAGAAGTAAAATATACTTGCAAATTATTGTTTACATAAAAGTTACCATTTTCTAATTTATTATTGTAACTATCAATTAGCCAATTGGCCTTATTTTTAATTTTATTTTTTGATTATATCCATTCGAATATTCTTTGTTATAATACTTAGAAATTTATACTTCACTGTTGAGTAAATAGGCAGGCCTTAATATTTCGCATAATATATAGAATTCACAATGCTCTCACAACAACAATTAAATGGTTCCTACGAAATCCCGATTTGTTTTACAATCACGGATTAATAAAAGTGTATGAAAGGGGTTCGAGTGGTATAAAAGGATTCCTCCCTAGTCGTTCACTCTTGGCAGAGCGGTCGTGGTTTCACGATGATGCATTCAATTCAGATAGTGTCGCCCTTGCGATGCTTCTCCACTTGTTTCGGTTTTCGGCGTTGCGACAACATTGATTTATGGAGGTACCTGTCGCAGCCTTTATGGAATCAGTCCAACGAGTAGGTGATCGACCACGCGACCGCTTGCCTTCTACTTGTCCCTGGACAACGAGCCTTTCCATGGAGTTTTGGTTTCGAATAACGTGTCCAAAATATCTGAGGATTCGTATTTGTACAGTCGACGATAATCTCTCTTTGATTTTGAGTTCTTCCAAAATCGAAACGTTGGTCCGAAACGCTGTCCAAGGGATCCGCAGCAGTCGTCGCCAACACCACATTTCGAGGGCATCAATTTTACGTCGGTCTTTCAAGCGAACCGTCCATGTTTCCGCGCCGTATAGAAATATTGGGAAGACTAAGCTTCTCATCAGGCGAACTTTTGTGGATTTTGTGATGTTACGGTTGCACCATACTTTTTTCAGTTTGTCGACGGCAGATCTTGTGATAGCACATCTCCTACGAATCTCATCTTCACATCCACCAGTGTTCGTGATCGTTGAACCGAGGTACACGTAACTTTGCACAACTTCACAGTTGCTAATGTTGGTGATATCAGGTTGATTAAGTTCAGCTCTGTCCACGATCATCATCTTGGTTTTGTCTCTGTTGATTGCGAGTCCGTAGGAGAGACTTATTGTCTCTAGGTTTGTTAACAGTTTCTCCATATCCTCCCTTGTGCGCGTGAGAAGAGTTGTATCATCGGCGTACCGCAAGTTAGAGGTCTTCTGACCTCCCACTGAGACTCCCTTATCCCATTTCTCCAAAACAATCCTCATAATGTACTCCGTGTATATGTTAAAAAGAAGTGGAGAGAGAATGCATCCCTGCCGAACTCCAGCCTTTGTTTGAAAACTTTTCGAATCGCTGTCATCTATTCGCACTGTAGCAGTTCCATCTTCGTAGAGCCGGCGTATGAGACGGACTAGGTGGTTAGGTACTCCCATATGAATGAGTACGTCCCATAACTTATGCCATTCCACGGTGTCAAAGGCCTTGCGAAAGTCAACGAAACAGATATAGAGTGGGATGTTAAACTCTCTAGACTTTTCGATTATTTGTCGAAGAATCAATATCTGCTCTCTCGTCCCTCTACCCTTGACAAATCCTGCCTGCTCCAGGGCTATTTCAGGATCTAGAAAAGCACGTAGCCTGGTGTTGATAATATGTAGGAGTACTTTGCTGGCATGTGAAATCAAGGCTATGAGTCTGTAGTTGCTGCATTTCTTTGTCGATCCCTTCTTGTGCAGTGGTATAAATACGGAGTGTGCCCAATCCTGGGGCCATTTTTCTGTCTCCCAGATGCGATTGCAGATAATATGTAGCATTTCAACCCCGTATTCGCCCATCGTTTTAAAGATTTCTATAGGGATGCTGTCAGTTCCTACAGCTTTGTTACTCTTCAGATGATTAATTGCGGCTCGAACTTCGCTCTTTAGTATAGATGGTTCCTTAGTATTATGCGCAACTCTCGAAGGTGTACTATATGATGATGCTATAGTTTTATCAGTATAAAGCTGTCCATAATATTCCCTCCATACATCTACTATATCTTTAATTTCCGTTACAGTCACCCCATTGGAATCCTCAACAGTCCATGTCCTAGGCTTGAATTGACGAGTTATGCAACGAATCCTCTTAAATAAATCTCTCGTTTCATGGCGTTCTGCGTTTTTTTCCAACTCGATGCAAATGTTTTTGAGATGGTTGTTGCGATCTCTGCGTGAAGAAGATTGAATTTGAGCACCCATCGAATTCAAACCTTGAACAGATGCACCCTTTGCCTTCATTTCACGTCGACGCTCTACCAGGCGCCAGGTATCATCCGACATCCAATGTTGGTGTTTACCTTTCTTTCGGGCAGGTTGGGTCGACCGCATGGCCTCTTTTATTTGGTCTTTTGCAGATTGCCAGAGTGAGTCCGGATCATCATCTATCCTTTCCGACCATGTATTGCTACAGTTTGCCAGTTTGTTCTTAAAAGCAGCTTGGTCTATTATTTCGAGCCTCTGTTTCACTTTACCTGGTACGGACTTTCGCAACTTGAGTTTGAGATTGCATACTAGGAGTTGGTGATCAGATTGACAGTCAGCTCCGGGCAGTGTGTGTGCGTTCGTGATTGAACTTCGCCATCTAGATTTTATAAGTATGTAGTCAATCTGATTTCGGTATCTGCCATCAGGGGACGTCCAAGTGTATAGGCGTCTAGGATGATGCTTGAACACTGTATTCATAATAGTGAGGCTGTTATCAGCCGCAAACTGAAGCAATCTCTCTTCTCGATCATTCCTCTTACCGAGACCATAGCTACCTACAACAGTCGTCAAGCCCTCATCCATTCGTGTATCACCCACCTTAGCGTTAAAATCGCCAAGAATTATTAATAATTCTCTATTTGGTATGGCTGCTATTGAAGATTCAATATCATTGTAGAATCTTTCTACATCTTCGTCTTTTGCTGTGCTAGTCGGTGCATATACCTGGATAACATTTAATGGGGTGGGCGACGCATCGAGTTTCATTGTTATGATTCTGTTGCTGACGGGGTTGTAACCTAGGACTGCTTTAGTCCACTGTTTGGGAATTGTAATGGCCACTCCTGCGTAGCTACTGGTCCCATCTCCTGAAAAATAGATTGTATGGTTTTCCAAGTCTCGGTGGCCACTACTTTTCCAGTGAGTCTCGCTTAAACCAGTAATAACGGAATCGCATCGCTTGAGCTCATGATCTAAAATGTGTAATTTACCCTCATCAAGGAGTCCACGTACGTTCCATGTGCTAATGCGGGTATCTTTGCGCAATTTTATTTGTTCTCTTCCAGTAACATATTTTCCGGGGGTCGCCTGGTTACCTACGTTCCCTCGGCCGGTAACCAATTTCACACTTTGAATCCCGGGAAACTCAGAGCGCCGGTCGCTACGCGGATCGTCAGGCAAACGTACTTCCAAACTGTCTTGCATTTCATCATCAACTCTCGTGGGAAATTTAATGTAGTAGTATCCCGTTGCTTTCTACATCGCGGTACTATAGACTCAGTGTCCATAGAATTCTGATAGTGAACCGGTCCAAACCAAATTTTCTTACGCTTCACCACAGTACTGATGGCTACCGCTGCCCTCCACCAGGTTTCAGACACAAAGCCTCTGTGGCTCGCCTCTTCCGCTGCATTGACCGTACCGACATCCTTTGTCTCCGCTCAGTCCACCGTTGAGGTCTTCACTCGTAACCCTGAGCATGGGTTGTGCGTTATACCCCGCAGAACTGGGTCCCTGTTGAACTTCGCCATCTATTCACTCCGGCCTACTAGAGTGTAAGATGCCCACCCCCGCGACGTGGACGCGCCAAACAGGAATTGCTCAAGTGAAAAGTAGAAAAGGTACCTCTACTCTTCCAGGAGCCGGGTTAATGAACGTGTATGGGTCCACGCTCAAAGGCTTAGCGATATAAAAGGATTAGCGATATTTTATTTAATAATTTGTATGCCAAAAAATATATATGTTCTTTTTAATCAGTTTTTATACAGTGCTTTTAATATATTATCAATGGTTTAAATCATTATTATATTTCGACCACTCTAATGTTAGTTATAGACATCTATCATTTTCCAATGTACAAATAAAATAAAAATGACTAGCTCGCTGATATTAGGTGTGTAGAGAACTTTTTTATATGTTTATTTTATAGATATACATGAAATACGTAGGTGGGATGATAAATAGCTAGCCCAACCCATATTTTTTATAATAACGATATAAAATCTCCTTAACATTTTACTCATTGGTTCATTAGCTGCCAGTGTTCCAAATTTCAAATCGATCGTAAATTTTTTCATTTTTATATTGACATTTCAAAAAGCATTCTTTTGTTTTTTCTGCAAAATGGATAAAATTGAGCCACGAGCAGTGATAAAGTTTTTGCATATTTAAAAGGATTAAAAGGTGAATTTAAACGTGGCCATACCAGCACCCAAGATGAACATCGTCCAGAACGTCCAAAAAGTGCCACTACTCCAGAAATTGTGATCAAAATTCATGATGCAGTTTTAGCTGACCGAAGATTGGAACTTTCCCAGATAGCTGATACTGTAGGCGTCTCTAAAGAACGGGCGCTTTTCATTTTGACTCAAGAATTGTGTATGAAAAAATTATCCGTAAAGTGTGTGCCGCGATTGCTTACAATTGACCAAAAACGCTTTCGTATGCAAATTTCACAAGAATGTTTGGACCGCTTTAAGAGCAATACAACTGATTTTCTGCGACGGTTTGTTACTAAAGACGAGACTTGGGTTCACCATTATATACGTGAATAAAAAATTTAGTCTAAACAATGGACTGAAAATAGATCCCCGGCTCCAAAGAAAGCAAAAGCCGTGAAACCAGCGGGGAAAGACATGGCGTCAGTATTTTGGGATCCGAAGGGTATATTCAAATTCATTTATTTTGATACAGACTTTTAAATAAAAATATGATGATAGTATACAACACTAGACAATAAACAATAACACATTAAAAATTTAATGAAAAGTGTAATATTTCAAATTTAGCATCCATGACTGTACCAAAAAGGGTGACTAGTTCAGCATATTGATGCTTGATTACCTTCCAAAAGAACAAAACATAAGTGGCGAATATTATGCTGATCTACTGGATAAATTACTGTGTGTGTGGTATGTATTCGTGAAAAAAGACCCGGCCTGGCAAAAAAAAAATCTTTCATCAGGATAATGCGTGCGTTCACACGTGCATCACTGCGATGGCGAAATTCAAAGAATTAAATTATGATTTGCTACCACGCCCAGCTTATTCTCCTGATCTGGCACCATCTATCTGACTTTCATCTATTCCCTAAACTCAAAAATTTTTTAGGTGGACAAAGATTTGAAAATAATAGCGAGGAGGTCTGCCGTGGACGGTTATTTTGCAGGTCTCGAATAAAACCATTTCAGGGATGGCATCAGGGCTTTAGAGCATAGATGGATGAAGTGCATAGCGCTTCAAGGAGACTATGTCGAAAAATAAATATACATACTTTTAACACACTAATTCAAGTTTTTCTATGCTAGGCTAGCTATTTATCATCCCGCCCTCGTATATAAGAAAAATGTATATATCGACGCTGGAAATCAAACACGTAGTAACCCGCAAAACCAAATTTGTGCTTCAGAGCAGAAAATCTATTATTTTTACGTTCATGGTAACAAATTAAGTGTTCCTTAGTCAATTTATACGGAAATAAGATATTTTTTTTTGAAAGATATAAAGATTTTCCACTTTTAATATCCATTACGGTTTTGCAGGTTACTACGTGTTTGCTTTCTAGCGTCGATATATAAAAAGTGTCATCCGTATAATAAGTTAAATCTAAAAATAAATTTGATTTTCAATTGGAGAAAAGGCAGAAATCGGCCATAATTCTGCACTATGCATTTATATTTAGCAAGAATCCCCTCCTTTATTATGATTTATTCCATATAAGTACTATTTCGAAATAATACTGCGTTTAAAATACACCTATGTAAATAAAAGTCCTTGTAAAAATGTCACTCATGCGACAATAGGCTCGATAAGGCTGTTCGCATTAACGGTTATAGAAAAGAAAACGATTACTATATTATCGATAGAATATCGATTGTTTAATTACTATCTAAGATGGGAGTTCCTTTGGTTTTCTTTTGAGTATTAAATAAAGATATAATTCTCTCAAATTGCTAATGCACCTGGCCGCCATTTTGATGACGTAACTGAGTTCAAAAATCAGTACCGTTAACAAATAAAGACTGGTTAACGAATATACTTTTTAGGTTAGGTTGTGTTGAGATCGCACATCATTTTTTTTATGGTTTTGTCATTGTTTTGTTGTTATGGTTGACTAAAATAGCAACTGCTTAGTGATTTTCACAATTCGTAAACATAATTTCACTAATAACAAAAATAAGTAATGACTTTCATTTCATTATTAAATTTGGTTATGTAAAAAAAATCCCTATCGTTTGTTATCTCGTTATTACAAAGTGAATGCGATTTTTTTCATGTTTTTTTTTCCATATACTCAATTTTTACATATAAATTGATTATTTTCCAAAAATTCCTGCAATAACTTAACAAACTAAAATTTTTTTAATTGTTATAATAGTATTTTGGGAATTATTTATAAAGATTTCAATAATTAATAAATAGTTTAGCTCTTGCCTTTTGTTAGATTTATATGACGTCACGCGAATAATATTTAGACAAGGTTCCGGCGCATTAGCAATTTACGGGACTTATATGTAAGCTATTTCACAGTAAGTTTTATAAGCACTTTTTATACCTTAATTAGTCACGGTTGCTTAGCCGAAGCGAAGTCGCTATGGAAGCTTATTACAGTGTATACAATCGTATGATATGGATCTTCTTTATTTCATTGTAATCCATACAACACTGACGAGTAACTACGCATGGCCAATAAACCGTGAGTTTTCACGAAGGCAGAAACATGCGTGTTTAAGCAGTGTTATACTTAAATATGTTTTTATTTTTTTTACTTAATTCATTACAATAAAAAAAAATAAGAAATCTTTCCTTTTATAATATAGGTACAGATATGTACTTTTTCGCACTTAAAATTTGTAGCTGTTTTTCATCGTGCCTATTAAAAATGTTTTTTTCCTCCCTATTCTAGAAATAATGATCTATCGTTTTCCGTTAGTTTCAACAAGGTACACGGTTATGCAAATGTAGCCGAACTCTCATAGTAAATTGCCCGTTCTCCTTTCCCGCGAAAACGCCGACTTCTGTCATGGCGTGGCTATGACGTCGCGCCCCTCATAAACTAATATCGTTCTATGTATACATAAACTTCAATTCTTTAAGCTCTGATATGAGTAAAAGCTCTGGTATAATTAATATAAATTATAAGCATAAAAGTGTGATTATCGGTATAAGAATATCAAGCACTACCAGAAAAAAAAATGTATTTATTTTCGTTTACTATATACACTACTATCTAGTGAAGATAAAGTGATGCTAATTTTCCCTATTATTTATTACAGGGTAAAGGAAAGAAGACGAAAAAGAACAAAATGTTGAAAGTGGACGCTCGCATTCTCGGTTTCTCCGTGACGGCAGCGGAGGATCGCATCAACGTCGGCGACATCGACACAGTGTGAGCGTACCCAGTGTTCAACAAGTAACTCGCCTTGTGATACCGGCCGCTGAATTATTTAAAACTTCAGTTCTCTCCACGCCTAATCTAGCATGTAAGATACGCCCCCATAGGCGCAAGAGCAAACACTTACACAAACTTTCGCACCACGAAAGCCCCACTACGATGTCGTCCTCCAACTAGATTTATAAACCGACACTTATCTTACGCGATGTCAATTTTTCAACTCTAACACACCTTTGTCTGGAGTTTGTACCACAATTCATCTATCAGTGAAATATTTATTTAAAGTGAACATTTAGATAGTGGTTGTGTAGTGTTGTGTTTATTGAGCGGCGCTGACTCGATAACTTATAGCTTATTGCATAATAAAACGACAACAATTATTGTGCCTTCAGTGTGTTCTGGCTTTTAGGTGAAAGGATCAACGACATTAAATATTTATTACAGTAAGATTTTTTTTATATCACCTACTAAAAAGTACTCTTTTGTTTCGTATGTCAACTAAAAGCGACCTCGAGGCGGGCGGAGTGTGCAAACAAACGTCTTACGTAAATCACTTAAAGCTTCTTATTTTGTATTTTATGTAACTTACTCTCTTTTCTCTCCGACTCGAACTGTCGTCAAGTTTGTTGACGTACAAATCAGAAGATTACCTTTCATAGTACTAAGAGAGATATCATTTTGCAACATACAAACGCTTTACATATCGCTATACCAAATTCCATATAAGAACATCGTCATAAGACTTGCATAACACCGGTGTATGTTGCATTGTGGTATATCCGCCGTAACGCCCAGACGCGGCACAAATTTGACAAAACTTCTTAATCTTGATAATCGTTACACATACATTATATAATGTATTATTTTTAATGAAGTTTTATTTCTAGTCACTACATACAAATTAATAAAAATTAATTTAAAAAAAAAAACACGACACTATCAATAATAATACAGTCGCTATGTAAATGAACGGTTAAAATGATTTACAAATTAACAGTTAAAACGATTTTATAAATTAACGCATTAAATGGTATACAATCTTTAACATTCAATTTGTGTTTATGTTAAGTTCAAGTATTTACTTGTTTACACAAAAACAAAGGTATTGCATATAAAATCCCATTGAATTTTATAATATATCTCTCTCAAAGTTAAATTCTGTGTATATACATTAAGAATCGGTAAAATATATTAATAAATATAGGTGTATATGAATAATGTATATTAGTATTGCATTCACACGAAGATATGGGATATGTAACTAATATATAGTTCATTAAATACAGACCGTAGCATAAATAATAATTATTAAGATCTCTACAATATACAATAATATAAGTGGCATACATTGCATCAAATGTTTTGAATGCATACTATTACTGATAAAATTTGTAGATTCAAATAAATGTTAATAAACCATTTTTTATGATTAAAATTGTCTATATAAACGTATATCACCACCACCACATGTCATGACAAAGTTCTGTTTTTATAAAATTTAATATTAATCTATTTTATTCTTGTAAATACGTCGTATGTTTTTGAATTTGCAGTGAAACTGCATTTCTCTTCGAAAGTTGTGACCACCTCTGTTGTCACACAAATGTGATAAATGTCTTCGTGTGAATTACGCAATTTTAAGTTGCTCACTTGTAAGGACATGTTGTGATCACAATTAAACGTTGTTGGACGAAATGTGTCAACTTAAAAAAAAGTCTCATAATAATGATAAAAGCAATTTGCATTTTATTTATTTTCTTCATATTCTATAGATTTTGTATAATGTTCATAGTGATGACTTATTGACTTCTGTATATGTTGTTATGACTGTTATCTCCCCACAATAGTTGATAGTAATAAATAATATAATGTCCTAATTATGTAATGGCTAATTGATTTTTTAGGTAATGATTTTAAATTCACGGCATATTTAACGATAGACGTTTTTAACATGATAATTTATATATTTTTAGCATCATTCAATTATTACGTTTTTATTGATGACGTTTTAAATACACTATTATGTATATATTGTTATTATTACAATTGTGCAGTGATACAGTGGCTTATGGTCATTATAAGCTATGATGTTTATTTTGAATTCGTTTTCGTTCAATTGTAGGCGTTTAAATAAGCATATTGTTTGTAAGGTGATAGACAGAACTAAAATTGTAAAATACACATATCCAGGTTTTCTTGGTACAGTCAACAGCACGTGAGGTTGTACAAATATGACAAATTTATCCATTTGATTTTGAATTGTACTGACGGTACAGTTGAAAATCAACTGTGGGAATTTGACATATTGTGATAACCTGCCGTGTGTACTAACCGTATACTAATCGATTGCTCTCCTTTGTTATTACCATTTTAGCGTGCATTGCTATATGGCCATTTTAATTTAGTTTTAATAATTTTATATTCAATTCTAAGGATTTTATTAAGTGTTTTATGTGTATATACATTATTTAAATGTTGTATTGCGTAATCATTTGTATATACTTATTATACTTTCATATTTCTTACCTAAAAATATTTTATACTAATTCATAGGTTCAGTTTTGTTTACAATTTACATAAAACGTGTGATCTGTGCGTGAGCAGGTAGTCCTAATACTCGCTTGTTTAATACAATAACCGAAACGGCTTTGTATATAAATTCACTCGAAGTATTTTATTTATTTCAGATGTATTGGTTACAAGTAACAAGCATATAATTTCAGTGTATGATTCAAATCAGATGATTTAGAATTGAATGTTTGTAACAAGCTTTCTTTTTCTTTTGATATGATACTGTTGGCACATACCTTAATCATAATTTCAACGGCTGTTTATCATTGTTTATCTTTCATGATTGATAAGGACATAAAATAATGCCTGCACAGATAGACTGGGTGGCGTTAAAACGACTAAATTCGATAACTATCCAAAATAAAATTGTTAGAAATATGCAAATCAAAATGAACTCAAATCAAATTACCATAGTTTCAGGGTCTCGTTTATTTCATTGAAATCCAAACTCTAAATAATTCAGAAATATTATTTCTTTATTCTCGTTGGCTACTTTCTTATGAGTTTCAGTGTCAGGCAATCCAAAATAATACAAAATGGATATCTTAATTTAAAATGAATGATTTATTTTTGCACATTTAGGCAGTAATATTTGATGCACGTTTAGTAATGCTGACAGTAAGTTTATTACACGGTTAGATATTTTATGTCAGTCTGTAAAATTAATTCTTTGAAATGTTACAAATAAAACGGTACTCTTAACATAAATTTTATTAAAGTAAATCTTGCGTAGTCGGATATAATAAGATGTTATCTTTTTATTCTCAATATACAATATAAAACTACTTCTCTGTATCACACAAGCCGATAGCCTGTTTAGATTAATTACTTGCGAGAGAAAAGGATAACCTTACTTAGTATAATAGTTTTTAAATTGTTTGAGAAGTTTTATTTAAGTAGTTGTATCGTTTTCGAAAAAGCTTACGCTTATCCAACAGTCTGCTTGCATTGTTTCTATATCCTTTATCTATAAATAACTTCTACTTTACAAGTTGATAAACGCCTTTCATATTGGTTTCCTTAATTTCTTACTATAGTTCACAGTGGTAATAACAGCATTGAGTGTACACAGCCGACATACTAGTGAATAGTACGGATCGTCACCAATTTATTTTCCATGTAGCCGCCGTTTCATTTTGTATATAAAAATAAACATTGACTCTCTCGTTTAGCTGTATCGAGCATTCTTATTAAACTGTCGTTAGTTTCGCTGTTCAGGTACAATCTCTGTACAACTGTTTATTCTTCTTATAGTTATGGTACTCGTCACGGATACTGAATATTTTGCTTTTTTTAATTAATCTCTAATCGATTAGTAAAATTTGTGTTGTTTACTATGAGTTTGTTATGTACATAATTGTCTTGCCGTTTCATTTCAATCAGCGGATCGCTAACGTACAATTTGAGAAATATGTACTTGTACATTTAACGTCGTGTGTAAACGTGTGGAAGGTCGGTAATGAAATGTGTCCCCCCCTCCACGGCACACAGTCTATTTGTAGTGTTTCAATTTTGTTAATGATTTGTTTTAGAATCGTTGGTAATAGATATCTTTAATTACTCCAACAGGGACATACACGTGTCGTCGAAAATAAACAAAAACTATCGTTAAGTAAAGTAAGAAAAGTGTTTAATTCAGCATGGTTTCAATACTTCAAAATATATGTTCAATATTCCCGTTTTCTAATTTAATTCAATTTGGGAATTGCATTAAGAAGCAGCGTCATAATTATTATAATAGTTTGAACATCAAAATATTAATGCGTCGCCAACAGATTTCTTAAATGGGTATTAAATAATGGTCTTTCTGTAATGATTCGATATGTATTTAACAGCTTTAGCATTATATTAGATTGTCCTTTTTTTATATAATTCCATAGTCTTGTATCCATACCAACACCATTCTAACCTACTTACTAAGTGTACAAAATATGCATCAACATCATTAATAATGCGTTTTAGTCTGTATAAAGTAGTTTGAGGTGTGCTTTTAGTATTATTTGGTGTATTAAATGTTATTTCTCTCTATTTATATAATGGATATGAAAATCGGGAATTAAAAATTAATAAAAAGAAATAAGAATAACTGCCGTTTACACGCTTTAATTTGATCAATATTTTCAAATTTGTGTGAAAACACTTCTGCATTTTTTATGAAACTGCTGTAAATCTTAAAACTATGACCTGTCCCTGTTGTGAGCGATACTAAGATTAGATACTTGTAAAGTTTCAATTGGAGTTTAAATAGAATGCAATAATAAATTGTTACCAAATAATAATATACTATGGAAATGTTATAGTACTAAAATACACTTCCACTATAGTATATTATAGGCTGTCTATTAATGCGAGGTTGTAAGGTGGCCAGTCCACTTGAAGAGTGCTTTTAATAAAATATGTATGGATGTGAGTAGCCGAAGTCACGAACGTCACTGGATTTAGTTATATCGAACTCAAATCATTATTTTATGAATTACTTATCTCTTACTTGAAATGATTTTTAAAGATGCCAATAACTGTGTTTTCTACAATATATTTTATTTAGTATGTAGATGGATCATTGAATCATTGGATTTTTACAATCTATATAAGTAACAGTAAAACAAATTATAAAAAAATTGCTGATCTTACTTCTATTAATTTGAGGTTGCAATTTTTGTATATGCATTTAAAAATGACGACAAATTAATTTTAAATATTTCATTCCAAAAATTATATAATCATATATATTTCAGAAAATATGCGGGAAATATTCTGTGTAACCTATATGTGTATTAAAAATAATAGTTTGTCTCAGACTTGGCGTTTAAGACAAAGTGTGATTGATGGTTACTCATAATCATAATAAATGGGTGAAGACAATCGATGACCAAATCATTAATGACATATTCTGACTATAATTATATTTTAGGTTATTCATATAGTTAGTTCACAATTTATTGTATATGTAAAAAATAGACTAATTGAAAAATGTTTAATTCCTATAAAATATACAGCAAAAGTGATAATTATGGCCTTTGCTGTTAGCTGATATTACGGCAGTTTTTCGGCTGCACGCGTCCTTCCAGTGTTCTAGCCACCGAGTGGGGTGTTGCTCTTGGCAAAAACTAAATTATTCAATATTTATTACAACCTTATTATAAAAAAAAGAAGCAATAAGTGTACTGATTCTTGTAAACTCCTAATGAATGTTAAATGTTTCGATTATTATTATTATTATATGAATATGTTTTAAAGACGTGTAAATATTATTTTAGAGTTAAAAATAAAATAATTGATCATTGTTTTGGATATTTTATTTTATTACATTTTAACTTTAAAGAAGACATAATAAAGTACATAATTAGTGTTGGTCTAAACAATACCGCCACTTTCGATCATTCTATCCTTTTCTGTAACTCGGAATCACAATACTAACGATTTCATTTACCAAATTAATAAATTTCTCAAAAACGATTTTTACCAAAGATACTCTATTTTCATTTAATAAAACAAACAAATTAAGCGAGGAAGACATTTTTAAAATCACCATTTTTTTCAAAATATCTTTCCGACCGATTTTTAGTGTTGCCAAAATAAAATAGTATGTTTGTGCAAGCAATTACAGAGCTGTTGCTAAAATATTGAAAGTACGTGTGAAACTACGAAATAAATAATTTTAGAACACTACACAAAACTATAGCAAGAGACATCTCTCTTGCAAGGTAGCAAAATCTTTGTTCTGTGGCGAAATCCTGCTACTTTTGTCTGATATAAAACATGACGATGCAAACATGTTATTTTCTCGTTTTTCCATGCACAGAAAAGAAAATAGACTCATAAACATACTACAAAAAAGCCACACTATAAAGTACGGATCTGGATACGACACGCTTAACGCGAGGTTTTCATAAGACTTGAAAAAAGAGACGATAGCGAACTGCAACGCTATTCTGTTATAATACGTCGAGCCCAGTGCAGCATTTTCGATATTGTATTTCTACAAAATGTCAGTTATACGGTCGACGTCGTTCAATCTATCAAATCGGATAATCATTTTGGAAAATCTTGAGCAGCATCGCAATTTAGATATACGAGATGCCTTTAAGAATATACTCTAATACTCTAATACTCTAACTCTACATAATGGCTCATTGACATTGCTCCACCATTGGCTGTCATTTGCTTATTCGAAAATGAAATGAGCCCACAGGAATAGCGATGATGACTATTTTTTGTACCTACGTCTATCAGGCAGATTACTTGAAGAATATTCAATGATTGTTTTTTGCCTAATCAATAAATTACGACGATAAATAAAGTTCGAACGTGACGTCACATCTTTCTACATTTTCTACATCATTTTCTTATAGGTACACTCACAGGTACCTGTAGTAGTTAACTGCCAACCGGATTTTCTTGGATATTGGAAAAACTGTTAAGACTATTAAAATAGTATGTTACGTAGATATTTGTAAAAAAAAATAATTTGGCATTTGTAAAGACAACCATATTTTATTTGCCAAAATGAACAAAACTATAAGATACGATTTTTTATAAAAAAATCTGAGATTTATGTGTGCGAAAAAAAAATACTCAAAATTATTTTTTAAATAAAGTCCTGATGACTTTTTGGAGCCGATTAGAAGTCCGACTATGTCTGACTGGAAATATTATTCTACTGCTCTACTGCTGCAGTTTTCAGCTCAATGATCGTGGGAGTTGGCTGGATCTCGCGCTCATGTTAGACTTTTTATGTTGTCCTAGACTTGTTTAATAGAGTTCAGGTCTAAGTTGTGAGATGACCAAGGTAGAGTTGCAATACCGACCTCATTGAGGTGATCAGTGACGATTCAAGCATTGACAATTCTTGCATTGTCGAGAATTGCAACAAATTTTTCTCCAATAAAATTGACCTCTTACACGTATCGGGAGGTATTAATGTTAACCGTAACATAAAGGACGAGGTCGATATGAACTTCATTATAAAATACCATCGCAGACCATTGGCCCACCTTGATATACAGTTGTTTTATAGGCACAATCAATTTTATTTCTTTGAGTGGACCACGAGTGCAAATGAGCAAATTCCATCATCGGAAGGCTCTTTTCGCCTGTTCTCGTACTCACGTGATCGTATACCAACGTCTATATATAAATGATGTTATTTTGGAATCTTATTTTTTTATTTGTCGTCATACAAATTATCATTTTATAAACAATATTATTTCGTAGCTCGGTGGCGCTACGGATAACCGCCGCTGCGCACGATCTCTATTGCTAAGCAATTTTTACAAAAATTGTTCACGGGATGGGTGACCAAAAATTATTAAACAAAGGCCTGAAGCCCTGCAGTTTGGCTGTGAAACAGTTAATGACGATGGACATATATCAAAAACGAAAATTTAAAAAAACATTAAATATTTCATAGCAATTTTGGCGAACACGTCACTTTAAATTGACATAACCTTTTTATTTGTGAACCGATTGAAATAAATCTTACACTAAATGTTAACAGAAGAATACCATAATATAATAGTGAAAACTGCATTTAAATCAGTTCAGCCGTTTCTGAGATTATCGTGTACAAACGCACAGAGAAAGAGACAAAAAATGTAAATATTGTTTTGTGTTCTGTTATGTTTATAAATGCCTCTCATAACAGTTTCATATATCTTCAATGTACAGACATCGATCGGTTACGTTTTTATTATAGTATATAGATAAGACGACATTTTAGTGACCGGACCAGTGAATTAGGAATGCTTTTTTGTGGTTTTTCTGGAATTAATAAACTGTCTAATTGAAATATCTATTGCATCCCGAAACCCAACTCGTAAAATATAGGGAAACTCGATGTCTTTAAAACCTTGATATTCCAATTTGAATCTGTGGTGGATGTACCGTGAATAAGTCAACTTTCTAAAAAAAAAATTCAAGTTATGATATGAAAGGCATTTGACGAATTGACAATCGACGCTGACTTTCCTAAGCTTCAGTTTTAATCTCATTCTTCGAACCGTAGTGTTTTTCAATCAGTTTCGTGATATGTAACAACATTTTTCCATTCCTTAGAAATCTTTCCCTAGTAGCATTTTTGGTACGGCAATTCGTTGGGCCTTTGTTTGCTGTTCGGTTGGTCAACTGTGGGTAATGGCACCCCTGATTGCACTGCTGCCCACAAAGCTAAAGTACCGTGGCCCACCTTTACAATTGGAGAAAGGGCCAACTGAAGCTTTTCCTTCGTTGGTCCTAGTCACCTTTTACAACGTAAAGCCAACTGCGAATTTTCCCACAATTTTCTCACATAGGGCCAACAAACATTCTATAACGTTGGGCTGACCGTTCATGGTAGGGCAACTGTGGTATTTAATTGTAGGCCTAACTTAACTTTTACTATATAAGGCCAACTGCAGTGCTCCTCATAAAGGGCCAAGGACACAGGGCCAACTAAGATTTACTCATAATAGGGCCAACATATTTTGCAAAGTAAGGCCTACATACACCATCTTTGTAGGGCTTACAAACTGACTGCACAGTATATCATCAAATTCATGAAAACATATGAATATCAGCACTATTAAAAAGTATCAAATGGCCAACCAAAATATCGTAATAAAACATTTAATTAAAAAATGTATTTATCAAATGTTTTTACCAATGTTGATAAATACTCATGAACCCGATGACATGTCTACTATTCAGTCAGTTTGTAAATCCCACAATAATGTGTCTGAAGGTCTTACTTTGTAAAACAATGTTGGCGCTATAACGAGTAAATCCTCAGTTTGGCCCAGTGTCCTTGCCTTTTATGAGGAACACTGCAGTACGTCTCGTAGTCTTGGTGGGCATCTTGGTGAGGCTGTAAAAATAAAATACAATTGTTAATTTAACCATATTTTATTTGGCTGAAAAACCATAAATAGGCGTGAAACAAAAAAAAAACAAAACTTGAAAAAATTACAATCAGTAGGTTTTTAAAACATATTATAGCTGTGTAAGAGCACCGCAAATTGTATGGAATTGACTCACTCCCCACACTCTTAAAATTGAAACTAGCATTTCTCATTGAGTAAATCAAGCTTAATAGTGCAAATTCATACTCACATAAGGTACACAGATAAATGAATGGTCATTACTATCAAAATTAGGCAACAATAAACATTTCTTGCTTAAATTGTTTGAATTGACAATAAGATTTTTTTCACCACTGACCATGTATATTCTCAATTTGCTACTTTCAATGGATTCTTTGTAAAAATCTTTTTGTTTGAAAAACTATTATAGTGTAAAGTATAAGCATCAGATTTTGCTTCTACTTCAATAGATTTAACCACAATAATATCTCCATTGAAAGTAACAAAACAAGAATCTCTTAAACAAGTACTTACAGCACATTTAAATACAAAAAAAATCTTTTTATCCGTCCATCACGAATTATAGCCTTATTATTTTTCTTACTAATATTCACATTATTATCAAATTTCTTGTCAGCTGCTTTTTCACCCAGCCATTTAGCAATTTTCTCTAATGGCATATTATGCGAACAAGTAACCTTTTTATTTTACACATGAAGTTTTCAAAAGGAAATGTTGAAAAGGAATCTAATTCTCCAAAGTTATATACATCATACATTATTTTGATCAATATTATTACAACACAATATGTATATTGCACAATAAAACATCAAAAAATGTTTATACAAACTACTCGATAATATATTTTTTAAAACAATGGGACCCAAATATAAAAGAAAAGCTCTAAATTCCGTTGCTTTCCAATACTTGAATAAACTCAAAGACCTAGGCTGTCTCGAAAATTCGGTGGGATAATGTACGTATAATTTTTAACCATTCTGATACTTCGGATATTTTAGAAGCATTTAATTTACATTTTTTTGGTCCATTACATATGCAACTTTGTATCATTTTTTTCATAACGCCTAAACAAACTAAACGCATAAAGTCTAATGGGACTTGCGTCACTAAACCTAAATCAAGTTCTGTAATTCAGTTTTAGATATGTGATGATCCTCATATTCTTGACGAAAAAATTTTGTGTCAGTTCGAAGGCACATGTAGTTTTTCTCTTTTCTCTTCCTCCATCGCGATCTTTAGTAAATCTGAACCAACCACTTACTATATTCTGAATTACATCATCAGTTGCGAACTCTGCAATCTTATGATGACGTACAGCATCTGTGATAATTTCCAACAGGTGAGTTGCATATCACATACTACAAGTACCAACTAATGTTATTATTAATGTATAGCAATAATGAATTGTAATTTTACAATCAACACAAATAATTAATTAGTAAAAATGTTGTTAATTTAATTACCTTTTATTATCTTTACTATACGAAGATCCTTTAGGGAAGTCTTTTTATTTTTCCCTGTCCAGTTACAATTGACAGCAAGGTTGTTTGTGAACACTTTTTCGAGTATCCTTTTAACTATGGCTGGAGGTTTATTGCCGCCAATATAACTCAAATGATTTACCTGCAAATGTTAACAGATTACTAAATTATCGCATCTGCTAGATTTTGTTTTTCTTCTACGTCATATGATTTACTATCTGCTATATTGCTATAGGTACTTTTAACTAACAAGCTCAATTTAGTAAAAAAATTAAACAGACCTCCTATACCAATCACTACCCATATATTGAAAACTACTCAACAGAATTGAAGAAACTTGGACTGTTCCCCAA